AAGCCTACGTTCGTACACCCACAGAAGTTGTTAAGCCTTGTTAACCCACAGAAGTTGTTAAGCCTTCCACAGAACATCTGTTGCATATGATGCATATGGTACATGATACACATGATACACATGATACGTACTCACAAGATAGTTGATCACATCTTTAGGGCAAATTCCTGAGGGATGTGGGAATACACAAGAGAGAGAGGATATGGTTGTCCCGATGGTTGTCTCGATGGTTGTCCCGATGGTTGTGATTTTATGATGCGCGGTGCTAGAATTCTTAAGAAGCCCAATGGTTTTTGGAGATTTCGGCGTGCGCGCGCGAAGAAAAAACGAATGTGTCCCGCATGGTATTATTTGACAGGGATGATGGCCCTGGCAGGTGCGCAACCGTTGTCGCAGAAGTTCGAAAAAGTTGCTCGCAAAAACCCGTTTGACAGAAATGTTTAAAAAGTGTTGGGTTTCCTACGAATCCGCAAGAGCGCGCGGGATGAGATTTTGACAATTTGTTGGTTGAAAAACCATTTGTTTTTTGATGTTTTTATGTTAAAATCGCTGCGAACACTAAGGTTTTGGAAGGATTTCATCTTGCGCGCGCGAGTGTGCACTTCGTGCCATTTTTTGCAAAGGATTCTTGAAGTTTGGTTATGTTAGAACAAGACATGTCATTTTATACTGTTTTTTGAAAGGGAAAGCGGGCGTCAACAAAACAACCGGATCCGGACTCCCCCGTTTTGCCTGAGACTTCCTAACGAAAATGATGAAAATGTGGCTGCGGCCTAGGCGCGGCGAGGGGGGCGTGCACCAGGGGGCCCAACAATAATTATTCTTTAGAAGTAATAATATTCAACAACACCAACAACAACAACAACGACAACAACAACAACAACAACAACAATAACAATAACTATAACAACAACAACAGCAACAACAGCAACGCAAGCATAATTCTCACCACGAGCTCCCTATTCAGTCACGCACCCAGGGACAATGACCGTTCGGCCCCCTCACTCTGACAACGAGCCCGGCGCAGGCGCCGATTTTTCGTTAAACCAATGTGGGTAGGTCGCGGGTGGGTCGCAAATGGGTCGCGGGTGGGTCGCTGTTGGGTCGCGGGTGTAGAGGGCAGAAATCCACCCCATAATAATCATCCCGGCAAGCGAAGCCGTTCAGTAAACGTACACAAGGAATGAATCGAACAGGGCAGGGCTGTTTAGTAAACGCCCAGGGCTGTTTGGTAAACGTCAGTTGTCGGGTCCGGGTGGTTTTTCTTGGTGGGTCGCGGGGTGGGTCGCGGGGTGGGTCGCGTGGTGGGCCGCGGGGAGGTCGCGGATGGGTCGCGGGCTGGGTCGCGGGTGGGTCGCGGGGTGGGTCGCGGGGTGGGTCGCTGGGTCGGTCGCTGGGTGGGTTGCGGGTTGGGTCGCGGGGTGGGTCGCGGGGTGGGTCGCGGGCGGGACGACGACAACAAACAACAACAACCCTAACAACAACAACAACAATTATTTTCAAGACCGTTCGCCCTTATATGCTCGAGTGTCTAATAACGCGTCTTTCCCAAACCCTCGATACCCGCCCTCTTCGTCTTCGATCGAACCCCTTTTGGGGGGTATACCTTTCTTCCCTGCTGGCCGGGCCCCGGCAAGAGGCGGGGCGGCCGCGGACCGTCGGCCTGGCCAGCGGCAGCGCTGATCGGCGGGGCGGCCGCGGACCGTCGACCCGACCCCAAGAGGGACGGACAGGGGACCGACCGACGACGACGACGACGACGTCGACGACGGCGACGACGACGCGACGACGACGACGACGGCGACGACGAGCGAAAGCGAGAGCGAGAGAGAACGACAGCAGGGCCACGAAGGGCACGGAGTAGGCCACGAAGGGCGACAGCGGGGACACGAAGGGAATGCGTATGGGGCCACGAAGAGCGCGAACGAGCGGGGGCCACGAAATGCAGATAATGCGGGGCCACACAAGGCAACTATGGGGCCACTGAGGGTAGCAAATGGGCCACGTAGGACAATGAGGAGGACACAAATGGCGACAGCTGGGCCACGAAGGGCACGCACATGGGGCCACAACGGGCGCGACTCCTGGGTGCCTGGGTGTCGGGAGCGCGGCGCTTGGGCAAATTGCATGAAATTCCAACGCAAGGCCATTCTTCAGTAAGTTGCAAGCAAGTCTTCAGCGAGAGCGCGACTCCAGAGCGCCGGGAGAGCGATTCCTGAATAAATTGTAAGGAAGTCCAAAGCGAGAGCGCGATGCCTGCATAAAATGCGAGGAAGTCTCGGGCGGGAGCGGGGGTCCTGGCTAAACTGTAAGGAAGTCTTAGGCGGGAGCCGTTGTTGTTGTAACCCTGCGAGCGTCGAGGGGCACACTTTGATGGAGAAAAAACAATATGCACCGGTGGGGGGCATCACCAATAATTATTCTTCAGAAGTGAGAACTCAACAACGCAACAAGCAGAATTCTCACCACGAAGTCCCTATTCAGCCACGCGCCCAGGGACAATGAATGACCGTTCGGCCCCCTCACTCTGATTTCCAGTACGTGACCCATGCAATTCACCACCGTCTGCAGATCTGAAGACATCACCAATAAGACCATATCGTCGACGAGCGCCACCTTGCCGATCGAACCCCACGCGCCATTACATGCTCATGCGAGGTCGACATCACGCCAGGCGCCGCAAGGCCTGGTCTTCGGGAAATTCAACCGACTACAAAAACGTTGCCTGCAGGCCGTCTGACGGAGTTCGTGCTGCACGAGTTGCGTAGAATTTTGCTGAGGTAGCGCCGCCGACGAAAGAGACAACATGGCACAGTCTGAAGAGTTCGGCTTTGCTGTAGAACTTGCTTGATTTGGGCAGCGCGCGAAACCGCCAAGATGCTTCGCGAACGAGTTCCCGAACGGCACGGTACATGACCAATTTGGGATCGAAAAGAACTTTGAGGATCTTGAAATGTTTTCCTGCGGCCCGCCGTTGTCCAGAATGTGCACGCTCTCCTTGGCCGCCTCAAAAGCCACCTGGTTGGCTGCGCCCCAATCGCGAAGCGTAGTCTGGCAATGGATGCGCGCAGCATTCTTTTTTTTACAACAGCTGAGTTCGTCAGCGGAAACGCACTTTGTGAAGCTGGCCGAGGGCACAGCAATTTCGGCATTACCATCGAATACGTTCTGGAACGGCGGTCCCGTAACGGTGCCCTGGACCACCATGTCAAAGAGCAAAAAAGATTCCGAGAGATTTCCATCTACGTTGACATTCGCCTGTCTTCCCGAAAACCGCGACCCGATAACCTTCAAAAAAGGCTCGCAAACCCCAGCCGCGCACGATTTGGCCCACGAGAAGGTCGGAGTTGACCCTGTCAAAACCTCCAGCACGGTCCGAGCAGAACACCCCAACGCGCCAGCCACTGCAGATTGCGCGGATCCAGCAAAACAACATGTGGGTCAAAGCGTCTCTGTAGCCCCAATTCGTGTGATAAGCGAATTGGTGGCCTCCATTTGTCTTACTGAACTCGAAGAACGGGAGCAGCACGCTAGCGAAGCAATATTCGACTACTTCGTTGAGTTGGGATGTGAGATGTTTTCCACGGTAATATGAAGGATTGGAGCGCATCTTCTCTTTGAAGAAAGGGAACAAGCAATGTAACATCCACCATTCAGGCCGCTGGCCACAATGCAACAGCACGCGTTCAAGCAGGCAGTCGAAATCGCCAACTGCGAAGCCTATTTCCCCAGAGTCCGGCATGGTAGTTCATCGGGTCAGTGCCGTTGTCTTCCTGCAGCCTGTCTAAGATACGCAACGTTGAATGGCACCGTACGGGCATACAGGTGGTCATTGGGGACGCGTTTGGCAGATGTGCGGAAAAGTACGTGTTGTCGACCTCAGGCGGGAGCACAAGTCCCTCACAGTAAGTATGTGCTAGCAAATCGGCTTTGCACGAGCAGACAAAGCCCACGATTCTCGTTGACTGCGTCGGAGGATTTCCGATTGACCCCTTTGCCAGCACGGAGAAGCAACGAACCACGTAATATGCACCATTTTTTGGCCCGAGGTGCGCATGTCCAGCATGCGCTGAATGTACTTGTCGTAATGACGGCGGCAACGTTTGTCCTGTCGACAATTGACAAGCGAGGTCCCAGGTGTTTCAATTTCTCCTGATCGGCTCCACGCACGCTGCGTTAATTCATGCGTGGGTGGATCTCTGGGCGACTGCGGTGAGAGTCGGGGTGGATTTCTTCGCCCTATCCACGATGAGGCCTGCAGCGGCTAACGTAAAGCAGGATGCGAATAACTATGTCCAGTCCGTATTCTGCAACTCGGCACGAATTTGTGGTCAAGTTTGCAGACTGCGCAGGGGTTTCCTGAGACACAGATCCTGGTGTCTTAGGATCCAATGCCGCCTTCAAGCGCTGGACCTTCTCGAGCTTCTCTTTCACCAGAGACGCAGAGGATACGTACCCGTGTGGTGTTCGATGCACAAGCACAGTCGAGGTCGCGGGCTTTTTCGGGGTAGCCATGGTGGCGTTGTGGGAGCAGAGGTGTTGGAACGGAAAGGTAAGAATGGTCCAGAAAGTTGTGGGCACTTTCTGAGGCTTGTGGGTCCTTTTGAGCCCCTTGAGACCAAAAAATGGCTACGGGGCGACGTCCTTGTCTTAGTGCAGGTATGGGGTGACGTCCGAGCTCAGTTCCTTCCTTGTCCTCCCTTCTCTCCTCCCCGTTCCCCTCAGTCTCCTCCTCCTTCCCCTCTTGCTTGTTCTCATTGCCTTTCTCGTCCCCTTACCCTCTCCCATCCGCCCTCCGCGTCTTAGGAGGAGGAGGAGGAGGAGGAGGAGGAGGAGGAGGAGGAGGAGGAGAGGGGGAGGAAGAGGAGGGCATATCCCTCCCCTTCTCTTTGGCAAGCCAGGCCCTCAACCCGCGGCGTGAACTCTCCCGCCTCCCCCCCCCCCTCCCCTCTCATCCCGTCCCCCCCCCCCCCCCAAACCGCCCGGCGCGCGGAAGCCAGGCGAGCAAGCAGACGGCCCATCGGGACCAGAAGCAGGAGGATGAGGCGCCGACTGCCTTGGCGTTTTCCACGGCTTCGGGTTCCTCCTCGGCTTCCCCTCGCTGCTCTGCTCCTGGTCCTCCTCGGCGACGACGTCGTTGTCCCTCTCCGTTTCCATACCTGTCCCTCTCCTTGTCCACCCCTCTTCTGCACCCCTCCCTGTGCCTCCCCATCGCCTCCCTCGACCTTCCTTCTCCATATGCCGTCCTTCTCTTTCCCCCATGCCCACCCTCACCCTCCTCACCTGTATCCGTCTCCTCCCCCTCTTCCTCCCCCTGCAGCAGCTGTGACTCAACACTTCCTGTGTGAGGGCAAACCGCCCGTTGCCTTCCCACGGATACCGCTGGTCCGCGGTTCGGTCGGGAACTCGCCGTTCAGATCCACGCGTTCACATTCACGGGTCGCATGACATTCCATTACAATCGGCTGAACCTCATGTGTTTTTGTTCTATTGTCCTCACGGTTTCGACCCATGGGCTGCTGGTGCAGCAAAACCAGCTGCGATGGTACGAGCTCGTCTTCGGAAAGAAGTACAAGATCTTTTGGAAGGACAAGTGGACGCTGCTGCTGTTGCAATCGACGAAATGACCGCTAAACAAGCCACGGTTTGCGCCCAAACAGGCTTTGTTCGCCTCGATCGCCAAGACGACCGCCGAACTCGTGGGCAGACCAGAAAGTGATTGAGACACTGCCTATATTTAACGACGTCCTGACAACGCCGTGTTACGCAAGAAGGACATTGCCGGTTTCGTCGTTGCCACCAGTCGTGCATTGGCAGTTGCCGAAGCCATGCGCGCCTTTGTCAATATCGATTCCCTCGGCGACTGGAACAGAGACACTCGCTACGGTACCTTTGAGTGTGGAGCGAGCGCCGGGTTTAATGCTAACGCCCTCAAGGCCTCCTTCACGGAGTGGCTCGCCAGTGCCAGCGTGGATTTTTCCATCGCGCCCAAGCCCAATGTCCTTGCCAGAGGATTTGTTTGTACATCCAATGTCGGTGATGTGTTCCCTCGTCCTCGCGCTGCTAGTCTACGCAAGGCCCTTCGAATCGGACAAGAATCGAGATCCGTCGCAATTAGCACAGCAGAAGGATCTATTTCTTTCTACGCATCCGCAATCACGTTCCCAAACATGCCTCGCCAAGACTCTCAATTCAAACAACCCAGGGGACCCATCGCTGGCAAGTTCCCGCTTCCCAACCCACATGTTCACACATCCTCGGGCGAACTCTCGCTCAACGGCAACCCATCGTCAAAGCGACCACTGGCGAGTCCGCAACAGACCTGGCTGCGGTCACTTGGCCTGGCGCTGCTGCTCCTGCCTGGAGACATGTGGCGGCAACCTTCGAAGATCTAACGTCTGCGTAGCAGTGGCTTTAGCACGCGATGGCCCCCATAATTCTTGCGCCCGTCCAGAGAAGTTCTTCAACATCGCATCATGGAGCTCCCAAGCATTTCTCGGGCGATGGGCTGCCAGGCTGGCTGTCGAATGGGCCATCCTTACCCCGCGCGCGAGGCAGCTCGCGGCGAGCGCGACCCAGGAGACCCACGGCAACGCCGCCGACTTTCAGTTATTTGCAAACCTTTTTTAATCAGCACCCCCACCAAGGCGCACCGTTCCGTTTCCGACAGCAAGCTCGGATATTACGGGTGGAGTTGCATTCTTCGCCCCCGACGCCAAGCGCGAGAGCCATTTCCCCGAACATCAGCAGCCGCACCGTGCACATTAACTGCCCTGTTGCTCTTCACCTCTGACCAAGAGCAGTGAGTCATATCGCCCATTCTGGATTCCTATACTTTCTCTTTGGGAGCTCTTGAAACTTGCGGAACCAGATTGTGCAATGTCCCAAACCCACATGTCGTGCCAGGCTCGCTTTACCAATGCGACGGTTTTCTAAGTGCCAGAAGTGTCGCATTGAAGCTTGGCGCCACCAGCATTAAGCTATCGCGTTGGAACTTCTTGGAGATGCTATCTTCCGGTTTTGCGGTTTGCGCGGCAGGAGCAGATCGCGGCGCATTCCTCGCGCGTGGCGGGGCCCGACCTAGCGTCCAGCATTGCTCCAGGCGGAGTGCCGCGGTGAGAAGAAGAATTTTTGGACCGACCCGCCCGGGGTCCGCCGAAGCCAAGTCTCCTGCCATGGGAGCGAGGGCGGGGTCGGACGAGGCCCGCAGATTCGCTTAAGTCGTTTAAATGTGTTTCTCTCCTTGTCTTTTCGATCCACGTTTTTGTTCAGCGTTCCTTCAATGCCTATCACATCCCTTATCCCCCCTTCGGTTCCCCGTCTCCTGGTAGATTCATCCCCCGTCACCTCTATTTGCTTCGCCCCCCCCTTGGCCGCGAAACCCCATTTCCTTTCCTTTTTGTCTGTTTGGCTGCGTTCCTTCCACCCTCCTGTGTCCCCCTCCTGCTCCATCCTCCTCTCTGCTCAGGGCCCTCCAAGGATCGTTTCGCCGCTCTTCGCCTTCGCGCTTCACGATTGGCTCACAGGCGCCCTTCCTTCAATCAACTTCCCTGGGCATGGCTTCCTGGCCTAATCCCTGCGTTTGGTTGTGTGCCTGCTCGCCCTCCTCCTCCTCCTCCTCCCTCCTCCTCCTCCTCCTCCTCCTCCTCCCCCTCCTCCTCCTCCTCATCCGCCTCCTCCTCATCCTCCTCCTACTCCTCCTCCCCTCCTCCTCCTCCTCTCCTCCTTCTCCTCTTCCTCCCCATCCTTCTCCTCCTCCCCCTCCTCCTCCTCTTCCTCCTCCTCCTCCTCCTCCTCCTCCTCCTCCTCCTCCCCGTAGCCATTTTGGCTCAAGACTGCTTTCCTGGGAGGCTGACTGCCTCCAGGCTGACTGGATACCGCTAGTCCGCGGCTTGCTTCCAACCTCTTGCAACCACGGCTAGGCTGTGCGCTGGCCCGTGGCCCAGAGTTGATTTTTTGCGCTCCTGCCGGAGCGGTGTCTTGAGTCAACCATGGTTTGGGAGTACAACCCGTGGGTCAAGCAGGCCAACGGGTGGCGTCGCAATGGGAAGAAAGGCGGCGGCAATGGCGGTGGTGGCGATGGCGGTGGTGGTCGTCGCCGCGCTCGTGATGCCGCACGCCTCGCCTACAGCGTCTGCGGGACCTGTGGCCATTGGGACTTCGACTACCACAAGAACTGGTGCTGCAGTCGCTGCGGTGGCTGCTACGTCGGCGACGGTGGCGGTGGCGAGGCAGCGATGGGCGTCGGCGACCAGGGGAACACTGCCCCTGCCGACCCTGCCGACCTTGCCGCACACCTCGCGATGTTGGCGACGAAGTTCCCCACGATGGCCCAGGAGCTCGAGGCGGCCAAGCGCAAGGCTGAAGAGGGTGGCCCCCGGCCTGTTGCGCCTCCAGAGCCGCCCGAGCCCGCTTTTCAGTCGGAGCTTGACAAGCGTGCCTCGGCGAAGCTCACGGAGCTTTCCAAGGCCGTGGAGGCGGCGGCTCGCGCTGAGCGGATCGCACAGGTGTCCGTCGAACAGCGCTTGTCCACCGCGGTCAAGCACAAGGATAACCTTGCCAAGGCGGAGTTGGATCACGCCGAGGCCAAGCAGTACTGGGAGGAGATGGCAGCCGAGCTGCGCGAGGCCATCGCCCAGAAGAACTTGTTCAATGCTGAGCAGTACATGCAGGAGGTCCGCACCGCGGAGGAGCGCCTGGCCCGAGAGGCTGCGGCGGCCCAGGCCGAGGCTGCCCGCCTGGCGGCTCTTGCTCGTGCTGCTCCTCCTGGGCCTGGGGCCCCGCCTGGAGGTGGCCCGCCGCCTCAGGGTCCTGGCGGCCCGCCTGGGGGTGGCGGCGTGGCGCCTGGCGCAGCCGCCGCCGGCCCGCCTGGGGGCGGCGGCGCGGCGCCTGGCGGGCCCATCCTCCCGGGCATCACGCCGGCTGGCTTCGTGGACTTCGCCTGGGTCGAGCAGAACTTGCACACCCTGGAGGAAGCGGACCTCGTCCGCTTCGAGGGCAGGTCGGCCATCGGAGCCGAACAGTGGAGGGCCATGTGGAACATGGCTAAGCAGCAGCACTCCCCCGACCTCCCCATGGACGATGCGGCGTCGGAAGCGGCGTCTAACGCGGGCGACGATCCTGATCTCGCTGAGCTTCGTGATCTTCGCAAGCGCGCTGCTGACCGTGGTCTTAACCCCGAGGAGTCGGAGAAGTACGGTGTGCTGGTCCAGCGCGCCGCTGATGCCCGCGCTGCCAAGCGCGCCCGCCGCGCGGTGGCTCATCATACCAACAACTACTTTACATCTTTCTGTCAGGCAGCGGCCGCCCAGCTTAATGCAGTTCCCGCGGCTGCCGAGGCTGGAGGCCCGCAGCGTTTTTAACCCTGGCGTGGCAGCAGTTACGGACTGTGCCAGAATGCCCCGCCAGATTTTGCTTCCCGCGGCGCCCGCCGAGCGCCGTCGAGCGCGCTCTCGCGGGCAAGAGCTGTCTCTTCTCTTTTGCAACGTCACCTCCTGGTCTGCGTTAACTAAGGGCTTCGCGGCAGCTCAGGTCTCTAAGGTTGATGCTTTCCTCATGGCTGAACACCGCGTCCGGCGGGGCAACGTTCAGCAAGCTAAGAAAGAAGCCCGTGCTATGGGATGGCCCCCCTACTTCCAGCATGCGATTGATTCCCCTGGAGGTGGTACGCACGGAGGTGTTGCAGTGTTGACCCAGAAGGGCCTGGCGTTCCAGAGGTTCCTCACCCAGGTTCCTGTGGTGGTCCAAGTGGGCTCTGGCGCCTGTTGGCTTTTCTTGGAGGTGAAGCTCAATGGGTTCTCCTTGGGAATTGGAGTTTGTAACCTGGTTGCTTCTATCGGGATGGTTGGCGAATGCCTCGATAGGATGAAGGAGATTTGCCAGTTCACCATGTCGTTGTCTGTTCCCTGGCTGCTCTTGGGCGATTTCAACAATTCCCCTGACCAGGTTGCTAGTTCTGGATGGTTTCAGCTTGCCCGTTCTGTTCCCGTGGTCCCTGATAACGTAGAGTTCACATGTAACACGGGCGAGACTATGATTGATTACC